AAATCCAATGGAAAAATACATCCACGTGGGCACTTCAAAGACAGAGCTTATGAATCAGGATTTTGGAAAAAATGATTTTATTTGTCTGGAGAAAGTTTGCACAACAGGTGGAATTCATTTGGCAGATGATTCTTGTGATGAAAATAACACAATTAAATTGTTATATTCACATAAGCATCTTGACGTACCCTTTAGGAATTCTAACGACATGTCAATAATTCAATTTGATGGAGACGTTACAAACAGTGAGAAGAGTAGCCTTCATAGCTTTACTTGTGCCACCGTGAGATTCATGTTCGTGCATGATCCAGGGATACCACTGGTTCCGCTCAATGTTGCCTTGCAGCGAGAGATTGAGAACACGGGTTTCAGGTATTGGTTGCTGTGTCTTTCCCGGTCTAACTTCTACCATGATTATCACAGTGTGAGTGAAGATTTCGAATGGTTTGTCACTTATGTTTCTCCACCGCCATCATTCAATTGGTTTGCTATTTTTGCATGGACAATGGTGGACGATTATAATGTTTGTCGATCTATAAGACACAAGCATCTTACGGAGTGGCTTCAAATACGATTGAGCTCAAGTCTTCTTATTCTGTTGCTTGTCTTGAAAGCCATGATGATTCTCTTTCATGCCATAGTCATACTTAGAACCAGGCTCTGTGGATCTTTCAAGGAATGTAGATTAATGCAAATTGGTGTTGACGTTATCTGACTTTCACCCTTCTTTTCACCATACAAGTGTGGAGTTAGTGTTCTTTAGCACCTCTATTTGTCCTCCTATATCGTTACTTTTGCTGCATGGTATCGCGACAAAATTGGCGGGAGATACAGTTGTTTTACAATTCGCAGGGGAAGGAAAAGTTTCACAGATGATTGTGGCAACAAGACAGCGTTGCGCCAGCCATTGGTCTGTGCGTGCAATCCCGATTTCACGGCACCAACATGTATTTGATATCTCCCTTTATGGAAGTGTTTCTTCCAACAAAAAGAACAACAACCTTTGTATCGTTTGGGGTTTGCTTATCCATGGTGGTGGTGTAATCTCTCATTTTGGCCATTCAATGGACTGGTTTGACGTGGAGCTTGTGGCAGTACAGAATTTTCTTCGCTTCATCACTGTTTCTGGGCATGTGGTTCATCTGTTTGGCACTTTGGTGACCTTTGACACTGTGGACATGGGGAATTCAGCGACATCTCTTTCTTTCAAATACACTTCCACGACAGATATTTGTTGGATTGATGTTGCTTGGGAATCAAGTAATCTGTTGGTGTGCTTTCACTCTTTCTTTCACCCTGATTTTGAAGGTGTGGGGGAAACATTAATACTTGGTACAAACTATTTTCCTCCACTAACATCATACACTCGTCTATCTCTTCTTGTTTGGCTAAGGAAAGGAGTAGCTATTTATCAAGTCACGCACAATGGACAGAATGCGTTCTTCGCCGTGCTGGACCAGATTTGTGATCAGCAGCTTTGTCCTCACTGGTTATTTTTGCAGGGTTGTGCAATTCATTTATCGGACAGAGGAAAACAAACCATGTGGGAGTCTTTCATGAGTGGTGTGGTGTTTTATGTTGGGGTTCTAAGAAAACTTTGCAACGTGCTGCTTGTGCAAGCTCAACATGTTCTCTTTTTGGTCTCCTTTTATTGTGGTTTAGTGACTCCATTTCAACGTTTTTGTGGTATGTGTCTTACTTGACAAGGGGAAGCTCACAACAAGTCTTCGGTTGGAGAAGGTTGTTTTCCCTTCAATAGTGAGGGGCTATAATGCTTTCTTGTATGCATGGCTGTCGTACAGTGAATGTCACGATGTGAGTGCCAGTGTAGTTTGTGACTCATTTTGACTCTTTCATGATTCTTATATACGATCGCGACGAAGAGTTATAGTGTTTATGGCCACCGTGGGCAATTGCGGTTGTTGTATTTATTGGACATGCGTTCACGATCGTGCCGATGTTGATCCTCACAACCGTTTTGTTACTATATGGATTAAAGTGTGGAGCTGCTAAGTTGAAAATAGGGGATGTGTATAGTACACAAACGTCTAATACATCTATTCATTGGAGGGTGGTTTTTTTTTTGGGAGCTAGGCGCACTGATTTGGATCACACGTAAGGGAGTGAACACTTGATTGCTTAATTATCACCCGTCATTATACTTCGAGATTGTCTGTGTGCATTTTCCTATTTCGAAGCTCATTTTCATCCTTGAAGACGATCCAGATTCAGGGACGAATCTTTTCCTATCCGGAAGGACCTGAGGCAGCGCATCTTCACATCAATCACGACTTTAAGGACTTTCATCATATTAGTTTATGTCTTTGCTTGGGCTTTATGTCTGTTGGGCTTTTTAAGTGTTTTTACGTTAGCTTAATCATGTTAAGGTTAGGGTTTTTGCGATATCTTTTCTTATATAAGAGCCATGAGACTTATTTGTAAAGTAGCCTTTGATTAATGAAAATAAACCCTTAGAACTTTCAGTTCATCCTCCTTGTTATCGGCATTCATCGCGAATCAACGATCATCAAGAACCCTCGTTTGAACGGCTATTCTTCGGAATCAACGATCATCGAGTACTCGTCGAACGGCTATTCCTCGTGAATCAACGGTCTTCGAGTCTATCCAGCTTGACGCTGCGCCATATATCCAAGAAATATTTAAGCCTCTTATAACAGGCCTCCAAACATTTATTTTTTTACGTTGTTGGTTTTCATTCATAGGTCAGGGTATTAGCTACAACGTACAAAAAAGACGCATTCGAGTGCATGGGTGCCTGAGCGGGAAGTTGGCTTTTTCAGGCTGGAACTTTCAGAAAATGTTAAATATATACTTAAACTTATACATGGTGCTTTAACATACTTCATCTATGTTAATATTTGAATTTCATTCTTAAACATTGTTTTAGTTTGAATTTCATCCTTAATCTTTGCTTGTTGTGCTAAAACCAATTTTCATCCTAATTCTGTTAACTCTCCGTCAGATGACGCTTACGTGGCCGCCACATAAGTAACATGTCGTATTTGGTTTTCGAAGATTTTGTAAAAAAAATCCAGACAACGCCGTTTTGTCTCATCTTTGTCTTCAACCCCTCGACGACATTAATCTGAGATGAATTAGGGATTTGAAAATCCAGTTCTTAAATCTCTTAATTCTTGTTAGAGCTTGATGTCTTCCTCTAGCAGTTCAGGTAAGTTCATTCCAATTTTTCCTTTTATGTTTTGGGTGTTTAAATTTTTGAGGAATTGACAATTTTTTATATCTGATGACTAAGAAATCCTGTCTTTTAACACTGTATTTTGTGAAGGAATAACGTTAAAGCGGCAGGAGACTGAGCAAGGAAGAGGCATACCGAAGAAATGTCGATATGGTGCAGGATCAATTATCAGAACCTCAGAGACATATCAAAATCCTGGGAGACTCTTCTACTGTTGTCCGTATGGATCGAAGGAGGTATTTTATAGTCTCCTTTCATTAATTTGTGCGTTATTTTGATTGCAGTGACCCATATAAATCGATTTTTTGTACTGTTGTTAGGATAACAAACATTTGTTCAAGTGGACAGATGTTTCTATTGTAGAAGAGGTTGAAAAACTGCAAATAGATGTGAAGAGATTAGAGAAAGAGTTTCAAGATGTTCAAAGCAAGAAGAGTAGTTGTGAGGCGGTAGCAGACAGCTTTCTTTCTGAAATTGAAGCATTGAAAGTTAAAGCCACTGGATTTGAAAAAGAGATTGCAGAGCTTAAAGCTGATGTCAGTTGCTGCAAAAATGAGATTGAGAATCTTAATGCACGCCTTAGTTCGATGAAAAATGTGATGTTTTGTGGGTTGGTGATGCTTGTAATCGTGTTTTTCATTTACCATTAGGATTATATGTTGTGTTGTGTTGAGTTGGTTTAGTGGAAGTGGTCATCGTTTCATGTATAGTGTTTGGCATTTTCTTATTTCAGGTTCGATTATATTTTGGTGATGAGAATACAAGCCTTCATCATTTTTCAAGTTTGTTCAATTTTAATTTGTGGTCATTTTTGTTCAATTCACATAACGAACACTAAAACCAAAATCAGGGACAATGACAAACGTATATCAAACAATATCATGTATCATGTATGGTGTACATGTCGTATGTGTGTGTTGGCATGTCCTCTGTTTCGGTCATGTATGGTTTGGGTTCAGTTTTACCTTCAACGACAAAGTTCTCCTCACACGTCTAAGCTGGAAAAATCTACACAATTCCAATTTCTCTCTCTCTCTCTCTCTCTAGCTCTCTCTCTCTCTAGCTCTCTCTCTCTCTAGCTCTCTCTCTCTCTCTCTAGCTCTCTCTCTCTCTCGTATTAATATTATCTCTAAAATTGTCAATATCAAATTCCAGAGTAATCTAGTCTGTTTTAGACTCTCCACGCCCAGAAATAGAAACACAAAATCAAAAAAGAGTGAGAAAGATCTCATGATCTCTGTTTTTTGGTTGATCTTTTTGACCAAGTTGATCTCACATGATTATTCAATTGCTGTGTTTCCTCTTGTTCTTGTTTCTGCTTTTACAAGCCACCATGTCTAAACGCTCTTTCAAGAATTTCGTGGAACAAGAGCTCGGAATTCACATAACGAGAACTAAAACCAAAATCAGGGACAATGACAAACAATGTAGAACAAAGTACCAACCAATGTCATTATGAGAACCAGAGATTTGAAAACAAGAAGTAATAGCATGAGTCTCAAAATCCAAAAAACAAACACAGAAGCCATGAACATGGGCTTTTAAAAGCAATAGTCTGATCTCAGGATAAAAAACCAAACTCCATCTCGAAATATCAATGAAAAACACGACAGTTTCATAAAATCAAAGAAAACAGACTCCGTAACCCCACCACTCTTCTCCATGAACTCAATGCCACCTGATGAACATTTAACCCACTGCAAAATCATCGGAGAAAAAAAAACATGTTAAGCACCAAAACAAGTTTCAAAATACGTTTGTAAACAGAATTTAAACACCACCTTCACTCTCCATTTTGTGATGGCTGTGTTTGACTTGGTCCATCACCGCACTCAACGACATCTGGTTTGCGTGTCACCTTCGGCTTTGGAACATACACAGTGGTTGGACATTTTCTGATGTTATGTCCGACTGAACCACAACCTCGACAGTGAGAGATTCTTCCTTCTCTAGTAAGCTTCACAATCTTCTCCGGAGCCTCTTCCACAACTTCTTTTCCCTTGTTCTTTTTCTTTGGGGATTCATTCTTTCCTTTTATCCTCTTCTGCTTCTTATTAGGACCATGGGACTCTTCTCTTGGTGGTGGTTGGATCTTTGTCTCACCAGACTTCCTCCACAGATCGATGCCATTCACAGACCGGATCGGATTACTATACTGGTTTCTCCATTTTGAAGTCAAGTACCAATTCGAAACATAATCTTGGGGATCAAGCTTCCTATACAGAAGCACTCTAAGGACATGACGACAAGGGATGCCAGTCATATTCCACCGCCTACAAGCACAAGTTTTGGCAACCATGTCAACAGTATAACTCACGGTATGTTCCTTCACCTCATACTCACCATTTCCACTCGGGATAACTCTGCAATACATGCGTTGCTTCTCTTCAGCTTTTATAGTCGATGCCACTTTGGGACTGTATTTCCCTTGATGCTTCATTGCTTTCTTCCTTCTTACATCCATACGGATCATAGCCTGTCTTCTAATAGTCTCTAACATCTCTACTAGTGGCATCGATCTGGCCTTGTTAATTGAGTTGTTGTATGACTCAGAGAAGTTGTTGGAGACATCCTCACACACTGATGTGCAACTGAAGAAAGCACGACTGCAGTTACGGGGATTCCTCTTCATCATTTCTTCATAAATACCAAAATCAAACTCCTTGAACTCTTTGATTGCTTTGTCATACTCTCCAATATTGTAGCTCTTCGCAACAGCCCAAAACAAAGCTTTAGGCAACTCTTTGCCTGGATAGATTCTTCTCAGGTTGCCATAGATGTGGCGTGCACACATCCGATGCTCCACTTTAGGCAGTTCTTGATCCACAGCATTAATCAAACCCTTTAAAAAAAAGAATGTGAGAAACAGAGAAAACTGAGTTTATAAAAGACAAAGACGAATGTGAAGCTACTAACCTTCTGTCTGTCAGAGATAATAGTGAAACCAGAACCATCTTGTAGGTTTAAATCATTCTTCAACAGCTTTATAAACCAGAGCCAGCTGTCTGTGTTTTTCTTCTTCACAACACCCCAAGCGACAGGAAAAAACTGGTTATTTGCGTCGCGTCCGATAGCAGCAAGAAGTTGGCCTTCTACATTGTTTTTCAGGAAGCAACCGTCTAATCCAATAATTGGACGACAGTAAGTACGCCATGTCTTTCGGAGATTGGCAAAGCACACGTAGAAACAATCAAATATCTCTTTGCCCTCACCGTTTTTCACCGTTCGTACCTCTACGGTTGAATTCGAGTTGGAGCTGCATAAGAAAAAACAAATTTAAAAGTTAGATTGGGACACTTAGAAATCGAACACTGTACAGGTACGAATAAGAAACTTACTCAATCAAGGCGAGTCTATAGTCTTTAAGTCTCGCAAACTGTTCATCGTGTTCAGCTTGAATAATGTCTAAAGCTTTTCTCTTAGCTTTCCTACATTGGTCATTGGAGACAGCAATGTTGTATTTCTCCTCAAATGCATCTTGCATATCCGAAGGTCTGTAATCCGGATTTTTTTTTATGTCATTCAGGAACAATTTAGCGATGACACCATCTTTTATTACCTTGCTATGCCCATCTTTCATACATGTGTGCTCCTTGACAAAGGTTTTAATCATGTACCTCTCAATTGGTTTCTCAAAAGCACAGTAGATTACGAATGGACAATCTCCACCAAGTGCACACTTCACCCGAGACTGCTCTGATCCCCATTTTGTGTACTTGACGTTGTATCCTTCCTTGAGGACATAATCGACAACTGCTTCCTTGAACTCTGCAATACTGTCGAACACTTGAGCCAATTGAAGTTCTCCACTCCCTTTTTTGCAAGCCAGAAATCGTCTTTGAACACCACCATCCTCATCATCTGAATTCGGAGGAGTATCCTCAGAATTATCAGGCTGTTGCTCTTCTTCCTCAGTTATACCATCCTCATCAACCCTCTCATCGTCACCATTGTTTTCACCGGCTTCAGAATCTTCCTCGGACACAGATTCTTCCGCAGGGATTTCATCATGCAAAGCAGCTCTGTTTTCAGCACCATTGTCTTTGTTTTGATCCACAACAGCATCAACTCCTTCAAGAAAATCTTCACGTTCCAAGAAAACATCTGCAGCTTTCGTCCAAAACACAGCATCACACATTTTTTTAAAGTTTGCAGTCCCATCCTCGAGCACCTTCAGATCCGCAAGTTCTTCAAACGGAAGTTTGTACCAAATTCTTTGTCCACTCAAAGAAATGATCAATGATTCCATCAGATTAACAAACAGTGATGCCGGGTTGCTTATGAGTGTGTGGACTTCGCCTCCGACATATGATGTTCCGTTGTCAATGGAGATCTTAAATTTACCATTGTGATAAACTTGAAACACAGCCTCGTTCTCACTAAAACAACAGAGTTAGAACAAAGTAAGAATAGAACATCATATACAGGCCTTGTCCAAGTCAACTGAGATATTGACTTAGAACAAAAAACGTATCTACGTTGTGTAAACTCTTAAACCGATCTGATCGAAGCCAAAAATAGAAAGAAAAAATCACTATTTGAAAGTTTACCTCATGTCTCCAAGCTGTAAGTGATGATAACCAAAAGCTTATACCACTTAAACACTGAACTCAATATTTAGGGTTTTTAAACACTTGATCGCTCTGTTACTTTAGCTTGACGAAGAAGACGAGCATATAAAAGGTTATATCGATGTTTAAGTATTTTCCAAGTAATATCTTTTTATCAATTTTTAAAGACTACACGACTACGTATTGGGTTTTATAAAAATCGATAACTTGATGGGTTAACCGATGTCGTTTGTGTATTCTAAAACTGAGAAAGAATAATATGATCTCCTCACTTACGTGGATGCCACATAGACCAAGGCTGACAGAATAATTAACAGAGTTAGGATAAAAATTGGTTTTAGCACAACAAGCAAAGATTAAGGATGAAATTCAAACTAAAACAATGTTTAAGGATGAAATTTAAATGTTAACATAGATGAAGTATGTTAAAGCACCATGTATAAGTTTAAGTATATATTTAACATTTTCTGAAAGTTCCAGCCTGAAAAAGCCAACTTCCCGTGCCTGAGCTGAGCATTCATTCTACCAATTTATGCTTCCATTTGCCTTCATTCTTGACACAGTAATGAAATGTTGAGTCACTGTACAGTAGAGTAGTAAGGATTGTGGTTCAAAAGTGGTCTAAAGAAGCAAGACACTAATTTCTAGAGCAAAACAAAGATCTCGCGTTATTATTTCTATAATACTGTTTTGTAACTTATCTTATTCATGTATTTCTCTTCTTCAATCAATTTGTTTCTATAAAAGAGCATTGGGAGATGATTGAAAACGCCTTAGAAAAGGAAACCTAATTTGCAACTGACATTTAGCATAGTTGTTGTATGGGGCTATAAAATACTACGTGAGCCATCCTTTCTCTCTTTAGTCGTCATCTAAAAGAATTCATCCAAGTCATTAGTTGTCATGTGGAGAACTTGGAGGATTTTATTAGAAGAGAGAAGAGAGAAAGCACTAATATTCCGAATAATTCAGCCTTTGTTTATAAGTTTCCATAATTCGCAGAAAAGTCAAATACTAAACTGTTGGATATTAATTATCCACGTTAATGTGTTAAATAGCAAGATTATTTTACCTACCACATTTAGTATTGTCCACTTATTTTACCAACCTCATTTTCCTCTCTTGTATAAATACAGTAAAACTTCTATAAATTAATACTCGATAAATTAATAATCACTAAGAATTAATAAATTTTGCTGGTCCCAAGTCGGGCCAATGTAAAAATATCAAGTTCGATAAGATAATAAGATAATAACTTTTTTAAAACCCTTATATAAATATATGGTCCTAACAAAAACATAAATTAATAATTATATAAATTTATACAAATATATGTAGATATAATATTCTAAAATATAACTAATGTGTTTGATTTTACTTAAAGTTGAAATCTCATTGGTTCCATATCTCTAATTATTATATTAGTAGCTCTTATTGCTGTTTTATTATATACATTCAAAATTTATGATGATTCTTTGATGTGATAATTGATTTTCTTACCTGTAAATGTTTTTAAACATATTGTAGTGTTATCTTCAATTTTCATCAATAATATTGATAGTAACCATAGTTTGTTTTTAAAATTATGAACATGTATATTTTTACATAGACAATCCAATATGGTGTTAAAAACTATTTTATTGTGATAGTTATGATTGTTAATCATCATTTATATTATAAAATTTGTTAAAATTTTAAAATATAACATTATTCCAAAGAAATTTTTAGAAAATTATATGTGGAAAACAAATTTGTCTATAAATTAATAATTATTAATTTATAGATAAATTAATATCACAATAAATTAATAAAATATTATAGTCCCAACATTATTAATTTATAGAGGTTTTACTGTATGTGTGTTGGACAAGAGTAATAAAAAATCAATCTTATGCTTCCTCTCCCCCTCGTCTCTTCCCTTACCAAAACAAAGAGTAATACAATTTATCTACATACATATAATTTTATCAAGTTAATATATAGAAAAGAAAATTTATAACACGTTATCAGCACGAGCGTCTCTCGATCCGTTCTTATACCAAAAGAGGTAAGATTTATGTTTATATTCCATCTATTTCAAGTTTATGTATTAATTATTTCGAGATGACAGGCTCTGCCTTCCCCGAACTGTTGATTTAAATTTATGTTCAATTTATTTTCAAGTTTACGGGATGATAGGCTATGCCTTCCCCGAACCGATCGTTATGATAGGCTATGCTTCCACAATCATATGATCATATGGTAGATTATGTCTCCTCGGATCATATTAATGGAGTGGAAGACTAAACCTCCTCCTTGATTTTATATTTGTGGAGTAGAAGGTTATACCTCCTCCATAAAATTATGGTAGGCTCTGCCTCCTCAATTATATAGAAGGTTCTGCTTCTATATTACTTAAATATATATTTTTATTATATATGCCTACTCAAAAGGTTTTTATCATTTAAAAACAAAAAATTAAATTAAATATCTCGCTAAATTTACTATATATATACAGTTATAATGTCGAATTTGGCGAGGCTCGAAATCCCTGCCCTTGATGTGTCTGGAAAAAATTACATGTCATGGGCAGTAGGTGCAAAAATGCATCTAATAGAAAACGGGCTTCTTGATACCATCGATAAGTCGGAAACGACATCAGATGAGAAAAAGGCGAAATCCATGATATTTTTGCTCCACCACATCGATAATAGTTTAAAAGAGGAATACATCACGAAAGAAGATCCTGCAGATCTTTGGCAATCTCTTAAAGATAGATTTGATCACCAAAAATATGTGATCTTACCAAAAGCCAAACATGAGTGGCTGAACCTCCGGTTTCAGAATTACAAAACTGTTGGTGAATATAATTCTGCTATGTTCGGAATTACTTCCAGGATGATGTTATGTGGACAGGAGGTAAGTGATTTCGACATGATCGAAAAAACTTTCCAAACATTTCATCCTGGAAATGTAATCCTGCAACAACAATATCGGGCAAAAGGTTACACCACTTACTCGGAGTTGATGCAAGTCCTCCTTGTAGCTGAACAAAATAATCAGCTCGTGATGTTAAACTATCAAACTCGTCCAACTGGATCATCGCCATTCCCAGAAGCGAATGTTGTGTCATCCGGTCAAAATAATAGAACCGGACGTGGACGCGGGCGTGGTCGAGGCCGTAACCGCGGTCGCGGACAAAGTCGTGGACGCGGAAGACAAAACGATGTTGGTCGGGAAGCAGGAAAGCAAAAAGAAACTGCTTGTTACAGATGCGGAATGAAAAATCATTGGGCAAAAACATGTCGTACGCCAATACATTTAGCCGATCTGTACCGAGCATCACAAGATGCCAAAGAAAAGGATAAAGGAAAGAATTTTGAAACCAATTTTATCTCTGATGAAGCTGGACCTTTCTTTGATGGCATAAGTGATTATACTCATCTTGATATCACTGATTTTCTCGTTGATCCTGAAGAATCAACGGAAACAAAGCGATTAAGATCGATGTAATATAAAGTCTTCTTGAAGAAGACAAGAAAAACTAATGTAATTTTAAATAAAAATGTAATATACGTTTGTTAACAAGAAAAGGTTTTTCTTAATATAAAATAATTTCTAAAATCAGGTTTTGGTTTATTAATGCATTTTCTTGCATGTTGTGATTCAGAACATGTCATCGTTTGAGATTCAGGATAGAGATACATGTCTAGCAAACAGTGCTACGACACATACTATACTTAAAGATAAAAAGTATTTCTCTTGTCTCAAAATAAAAGACTCCGCCAGAAGCGTGAGTACCATATCTGGTAATGCAAATATTATAATAGGCTCTGGAAGAGCTAATTTTTCAATGCCAAGAGGGACAAAGTTTGAAATAACTGATGCATTATATTCCCCCAAATCTAGTAGAAACTTGCTAAGTTTTAAAGATATCTCAGGAAATAGATATCATATAGTAAGTATAAATAAGAATGGCATTGAATATCTTTGCATTACATCTGAGAGGAGACATGTATTGGAAGAATTACCAATGATGTCCTCTGGGTTATATTGCACAAAAATAAATATGACTGAATCCTATGTTACAGTAAACCCGGGGTTTACTAGTACATTTAGAGTATGGCATGAAAGACTTGGCCATCCTGGATCAGTCATGATGAAAAGAATTGTGCAAAATTTGAGTGGCCACCCATTGAAAAACTAGAAGATTTTTCAATCGGGAGTGTTCATGTCAGGCATGTTCTCAAAGAAAACTCATAACTAGGCTCTCACCAGCCAAAGTTGGGAATGAATCCCCTGTATTCTTATAGAAAATACATGGTGATATATGTGGGCCGATTCACCCACCGTGCGGGCCATTTAGATATTTCATGGTATTAATTGACGCATCTAGTAGATGGTCACATGTGTGTTTATTGACCACAAGAAATATGGCTTTCGCAAGACTCATTGCCCAAATAATCAGGTTGAGAGCGCAATTCCCTGATTATGCCATAAAAAGTCAGGCTTGACAAAGCTGGTGAATTCACTTCAGCAGCCTTTAATGACTATTGTATGTCATTAGGAATCGATATTGAACATCCGGTTCCACATGTTCATACACAAAATGGCATGGCTGAGTCTTTAATAAAACGGTTGCAATTGATAGCAAGACCGTTAATATTGAGAACAAAACTCCCAATTACTGTATGGGGACATGCTATATTTCATGATGGGGCATTGGTCCAGATGAGGCCAAGTGCATATAATGAATATTCCCCAATACAGTTAACATCTGGCAAGGAGCCAAATGTATCCCATCTCCATATATTTGGATGTCCGGTCTATGTCCCAATAGCCCCGCCGCAAAGAACAAAAATGGGGCCACAAAGGAGATTGGGAATATATATCGGCTATACGTCACCAAGTATAATTAGATATCTTGAACCGGTAACTGGAGATATGTTTACGGCACGTTTTGCCGATTGCCACTTTAATGAAAATGAATTCCCAGCGTTGGGGG